ATGTGGCTGGGGCCTTAGCTGCTTGAGCCACAGGCGCCGAGCCTCTGCATTTGTTACTTTAATCCTCACAATGCTGAGAGGCAGATGCTACATAAGATGTCAAGTCTCTGAGGCCCCAGGTCAGGTAAGCAGGGGGTCTCAGCTGAAATGTGAAGCCACACCATCTGGCTCAGGACAGACCCTGGCCCTGCACTGCCTCTTTGTTGAAGGTTCTATTAAAGGTAAAATACCATCATTAAAAAATGACCCCATTTTAAAAAAAGGAAAAGAAAAATGTTCATAACATGCCAAAGTCGACAGCATGCAAACTCATCGATTCATCATTCAGCACATGAGGAAACTGAGGCCCAGGGAGGGAGAAAGGCTTGCTCAGGGTCAGGCTGGTAGTGACACAAAGAGCGCCCGTCTTGGTCACAGTCACTCTACATCAGCGGCCATGCAATTGACTTCCATTCTGTGTTTCATACGCGGCACAAGGAGGGGTGTGCATGGCCTTTACTATAATCAGAGTCAAGGGCCTAGCCACACAGTAATCTTGAAACTAAGTCAGCCCACTTATTCTTCACATGGAAATAATCTCGAGGGCAGCTGGAGGAGTGATCCAGGACCCAAGACATGGAATCCATCTCCCATCTGGAAGCCGGCGTAGAGGACATCTGGTCTGAGTTTCCATTAAGCAGAGAGGAAGGTGACGCTCATACCAGTCTCAGCAAGAGTTTAGAGACTGTGGAAAGATACTGTCACACCAGCAATAACGGCCTCAATGCTCCTTGTGATCTGAATGGCTGTATCTGCAGCTACTGTAGGATAAACAAGAAATCTTGCAGGAGCTTCAGATAATTAACATTGTCAAATGGAGAGACAGAAAATGCAAATGATAGTGGCCAAGGTGTGGCACTGCACCTGCAGCTCAGAACACTGTCCCAGATCCCCACCGCAGTGGACATCCAGGCTACTTCACCTACCACCGTCTCTTAACTGGGATGAACTGGAGCTGCCCATCATGAAAACCCGCCTCCCTGCCGCACAAGGCTGCATGTGACCCAAGCTGGGCCAATCAGGGTCCTCTTAAGGGATTGATTGATAGTGAGGGAAGAAGACTCCCTTCTTCTGGGGTCCTGACCTAAAGGACCACCATAGCCTGGACCATTCGTCCTGCAGGGCAGAGGCTGCTGGAGGCCACATGCTGAGAAGAACAGAACTGAGGGATAAGAAGAAAATGCCCCTTGAGCCCTGAAGGGCCACACCTAGAGCCCAACCCCCCACCCCATACCACACTGGCCAGTTCCACAGGCCAGGCAGTCCCCCTTTTCACCTCGCCTTATTTGAGCTCCCAAACAAAGAATCATAACTACCCCTCCCACCTAAAGGAGCCTGGCAGAGAACAGTTTCCTCTGATCTCAGTCATGGGGCCTCTTAACCAACTAATAAAGGTTCTAGATTTAGAAGAAATTCTGCAGGTTCCTTGGAGGGTACGAGATTACAAAATACCTTTATGAGGTTTCCTTGGGGGGTGGTGAAAAAGTTCTAGCAAGACAGCAGTGATGGCCACACAATGCTGTGAACATGCTCAATGCCACTGAAGCTTATGCCTTGAAATGGTGGAAATGGTTAAGTTTTATGTTATTGTATTTTGCCACAATTTTTTTAAATGGAAGGAAAAAAGGAACAGCAAGATTCAAGAGACTGTGCCCAGTGGATGCGTCTGCGCCCTCTGGGCCGCACTTAAGAAGGGGCTCAGCCTGGGCTGGCAGAATTCAGCAGGAGACTTTCGGCCATGCAACAGGCATTCTTTGCTGCCACACATACACACATGACACCTCAAAGCCAGTTAACTATTAAAACCCAACTAGCCGGCTCGGCACCTGTGGCTCAAGCGGCTAAGGCGCCAGCCACATACACCTAAGGTGGCGGGTTCGAATCCCCAGCCCGGGCCCGCCAAACAACAATGATGGCTGCAACCAAAAAATGGCCGGGCGTTGTGGCGGGCGCCTGTAGTCCCAGCTACTTGGGAGGCTGAGGCAGGAGACTCGCTTGAGCCCAGGAGTTGGAGGTTGCTGTGAGCATGATGCCATGGCACTCTACCCAGGGGGATAGCTTGAGGCTCCATCTCAAAATAAAAAAAAAAAAAAAAACCAATTAGCCCGGAGAAAAAAAATACCCTGTAGGTTAAGAAAGTGACTTTCCAAAGGCAGGTTTCCAGGACCAGACAGCGTGCAGGACAGAGGTGTTAACCAGTCACACAGATTAGGACTTCAAATAAATGATGTTTACTGGGCATTTCCTAGGTCCTAGCAACAGTGCTAACCCTTTAAAAAGGCACTCTGATAACCGGGCACAGTGGCTCACACTGAGGCAGGAGGATCACTTGAGACCAGAAGTTTGAGACCAGCCTGAGCAACACAGCAAGACCCATCCGTACAAAAAATTGAAAAACTAGCTGGGCATAGAAGCATGTACCTGTAGTCCCAGCTACGGGAGGCTGAGGCAGGAAGATCACCTGTGCCCAGGAGTTTGAGGTTGCCGTAAGCTAGGCTGAGGCCATAGCAGTCGTAATCTGACAACTCAGACCTTCTAAAAATGATTATCATTAGTGGTGCCCGTAGCTCAGTGTGGGGGGCACCAGCCACATGCACCAAGGCTGGCAGGTTTGAACCTGGCCTTGGTCAGCTAAACAACAACAACTGCAACAAAAAAATAGCCGAGTGTTGTGGCGTGCGCCTGTAGTCCCAGCTACTCGGGAGGCTGAGGCAAGAGAATTGCTTAAGCCCAAGAGTTTGAGGTTGCTGTGAGCTGTGACGCCACGGCACTCTACTGAAGACGACATAGTGAGACTCTGTCTCAAAATAATAATAATAATAACAATAAATAAATAATAAAAATGATTATCACGACTGCTAACTCCAGAAGCCTACCTCCTGAGAATGTGTTCTAAAGAAACAATTCAGTGGAAGAGAGAAAGGAGCTGTGTGTGTGAAAATGTTGGTTGGAGCAATATTTATAAAAATAAAAACTGGAAACAACTCAAGAGGCCAAGAACAGGGGAACATTCAGTACATCACGGTACACTTGTGAGATGGGACACTCTGCTCCCAGAAAAACATTAATTACAAAGGCTGTGCAACCATAGAATTTATGAAATTATATTAATTAAAAAAAATAAAACTAGCTGCAGACTGCAGTGCGATCCTGGGCCATGACTGCGGCAACGCAGAGAGGCAGGAGGTGAGTCTGTGTGAGCCGCAAGGAGAGAAAAACCAGGTGGTGGCCGTGCAAAGACAGAAGTTTATTATTTCCTATGATTAGCTGTGAAATAAAATTTATTTTTAGTCTGGGCGCGGTGGCTCACTCTTGTAATCCCAGCACTCTGGGAGGTCGAGGCGGGAGGATCCCCTGAGCTCAGGAGTTGGGGACCAGCCTGAGCAAGAGTGAGACCCGGTCTCTGCTAAAAATAGAAAAATTAGCCAGACATGGTGGTGGGCACCTGTAGTCCCAGCTACTCGAGAGGCTGAGACAGAAGGATCGCTTGAGCATAGGATTTTGAGGTTGCTATGAGCTGTGATGATGCCACAGCACTCTACCCAGGGTGACAGAGTGAGACTCTTGTCTCAAAAAAAAAAAAAAATTATTTTAGAAGAGTTTTAGATTTATAGAAAAGTTGTAAGGGATCCTACCTCAAGTCTCCCATCCCCACAGCACACAAACACCCACTCTATTTCCCCAACTGCTAACACCACATTCACATTAATTTGATACGTTTGTCACTGTGAAAAAAAGCAACACTGGTATGTTATAATTAGTTAAGCTCCAGATTTTATTCATATTTCACCAGTTTTTCTGTTCTAGGGTCTAGTCCAAGACATTACATTAGACACAGCCTATTTTTTTTTTTTTTTTTGAGACAGAGTCTCAAGCTGTCACCCTGGGTCGAGTGCTGTGGTGTCATAGCTCACAGCAACCTCCAACTCGGGCTCAAGGGATCCTCTTGCCTCAGTGTTGCTATGTTTATTAGAGATGGGGAGGTCTCGATTTTTTGCTCAGGCTGGTCTTGAACTCATGGGCTCAAGCAATCCACCTACCTCAGCCTCCCAGAGTGCTAGGATTACAGGTATGAGCCCCCATGCCCAGCCGATACAGCCTATTTTTTGTTTTTTTGTTTGTTTTTTTACAATTCAGAGGTTTGGGGTACACTCACAGATATGTGTAATGATAGTGACAGTCGATTTTAGGGTCTTTCCAGCACCTCACATAGAAACTCTGCCCCTGTCATTAGCCTGTGGCTTTTAAACATTCATTTAAAGGGAACCAGTTATACTGTTTTATATCTTTGAAACAATGTGTGTGGGGTGGGGACGATGGATGGTGCCCTTGGCCCTCTGCTACAGACAGGCTGCGGCAGGCACCTGCCACACAGTGATTCTGGTAACTTCAGCGACAGTTTAAGGCACTGAAAGATGGAGGATTCCTTGGTTCACAGCGTCTCAGAAATCCCTTTGGTAGAGAAAGAGCTCTGCCCCTCACCCACCCCTTCCTCTGGTTTACCTTTTTGGAATTCGAATTTTCTCTTCCCAACCTGACCCCACACCCTAAGCCCAAAGGAAAGACCTTTAAAAGTTTACATTTAAAGTGTCCAGAATGTTCTTTAGTTGCCAGAATGTTAAAGCACTCTTCAGAAAGGGCACATGTGGGTCCCACGGCCACCACCAGGTGTCATCCCCCTTCTCTGCGGGCAATCTGTCCCACCCAGAGAGGGCGTCCAGCTGCCACGGTTCCATCCTGTGATGGCAAGCACGGTCCCTCCTCCAAGCCTAGCCCAGAGACAGTTTTAGGGCCATCCCACCAGGGGCTCTGAGGGTCCAGAGAGGCAGCTTGGCTCATTCAAAGTCACAGCTAAGTCACAGACCCAGGAGTCAGACTCTCTCTGGCCCTGCTGCAAGGTGACCCTCCGGCTGAGTGACCTCCCCCCACCCCCAGGCCCTGAAGGAACGCGGGAGAGTTACCTGTACGACCTCCTTCACCAGGGTCTTGTCCGTCCCGGTTTTAGCGCGCTGCAGCCCGCTCACGTTCTCACCGATCCACGTAATGAGGGCGAACTTGGACCTCTTGCTCATGGCGTCCCCAGTGGTGAAACGCACGAAGGCGAACAACCGGACGTCATCTGTGGCCAACGGCAAAACGACAACACGGCACCCAGTTAAAACAGCCCAAAACCATGTCCTCAAGGAAAGGAAACGAGCCCCAAGTGAGCCCGGAATCGCACGGCAGGAGCCAATACTGAAGCAGGAGCCAATACTGAAGCACCAGGGCAGACCGGGGAAGGAAGCGCTGATCGTGGCCACCGCTCCCTCCTTTAATCCTGAGAGTAGCTCACTGGGCTTTGAAGCCGCTCCCCAATGGGAGGGAAACAGAGGTTCAGCAAGGCCACAAGACACGCCCAGGGTTGTGCGGGCAGCTTGAGGTCCTTCTAAGATGTGAATCCAGGCCTCTCTGGCTGCAGCGCCCACCACCTTCATACAGTCAAGTTTCAACCAACAGGTCCTATTAAGGGGACGGGAATGCCTCAATCTTTCTTATTCTGAATCTTTGAGGTCCTACTTGGAATGGGAAAGCCACAGGGTGGAGAGGTTGGAATCAAGAAGGGGCAAGGCTGGGGTGAAAGTGGCCCTTTATTCTGGTCTGGGACATTGCTCCATGCACAGCGGGGATGCTCAGCTCACGGCCAGAGAATTCGACCAGTAACAAATCCTGCTTGCTACACAGTCGCTTTCATTGAAATGGCTTTGGTGTTATTTTGTCCCACTGGGCTGTATTAAGTTTTGAGTCAGTGCCGCGCTGCTCTCATGACCACTACCTTAGAGTCTCTCTCCGTCCGCTATGTTCAGTTCCATCCTCCACCGCTTTGCATCATCCAAATAGCATTTGATATTCCTGGGCTATTATTTATTTTTTATAGACAGAGTCTCACTCTGTAGCCCTGGGTAGAGTGCCGTGGCATCATCATAGCTCACGGCAACCTTAAACTCTTGGGCTCAAGTGATCCTCTTGCCTCAGCCTCCCCGGTAGCTGGGCCGACAGGTGGCCACCACAGCACCCAGCTAGTTTTTCTACTTATTATAGAGACGGGGGTCTATCTCTTACTCAGGCTGGTCTCTAACTCTGAGAGTGCTAGGATTATAGGCTGAGCCACCACGCCTAACCATTCCTGAGCTTTTAGAGTGACGTGTGCCTGTGCCCCCCTGGGACAGACAGAGACTGCTCACATCAGCACTGTGGACACTTGGGGTCCCCCATTCTCTGTGGTGGGGACTACCCTAGACTTTGTAGGGTGCTGAGCAGCATCTCCTGGCTTTGCCCACCAGATGCCTGGATCATTCCCCAGTTGTGACAACCAAACACACCTCCAGGTGTTGCCAGAAGTCCCCTGAAGGACAGAACACCCGACTGAGAATCTCTGGTCTAGACTTGGTTTGTGTCTCCATTTCATCAGGACCCAGTTAAGGTTTCCCAACAAAGTTCCGTGCTTCATGGAAGAAATCACATAGCTTTACTCGGCTTAACTCATAAGTATGTCATATTTTAATTGCCATCACCATGAGATCTCCGTACAAGTCCTCACTAGTGATCACTGGTACACAGGGACGCTGCTGGTTTGGCGGTGTTCATGTTAGCCTCCGGGATGAGCTCCTGTGTTCTCAAGGGGCTTTTAGTTTCTGGCTGTAGGGCTTCTCAGGGACCCAATGACACCGTGCAGCCAGTAATGCATTTGCTTTTTAAGCATGGTAGAATCACAGGGAGTCTTCCCAAAATTCAGATTCTGACTCTGCAGAATCTGCGATGGAGCCCCAGGGTCTTCAGGTCTAAGAAACTGCCAAGTGATACTGATTCTGGTCAAAGGACCAGGCTCTGGGTTTGAAAAAACAAAATGGGCAGCACCTGTGGCTCAATGGGTAAGGTACCAGCCCCATATACAGTGGGTGGTGGGTTCCAGCCCAACCCCAGCCAAACTGCAACAACAACAAAAATAGCTGGGCATTGTGGCAGGCACCTGTAGTCCCAGCTACTGGGGAGGCTGAGGCAAGAGAATTGCCTAAGCTGTGATGCCATGGCACTCTACCCAGGGCAACAAACTGAGACTCTAGCTCTAAAAAAATAAACAAACAAACAAACCAATAAAAAAACCCAAGATGCCTTTCTGCCTAAGTATCTCCAAGCTGATCCCACACCAAGCATTAAGTTAATACCAAGACTCAAGGCCAGAAACCATCTGTCTAAAGGACGCAGGCCCTGAGCAAGTAAAGTTCACTTTCTGGTTTTCATCTCAGAAGTACACCTCCAGCACTGAGCCACTCTGCCTCCCAGGTAATTGATCTGTCTCAGTGAGCTGAGGAGCACACCGTTCTCAGCAGACCACGGACATGTGATTCAGACTCCCCTGACCCTTGCCACGACATTTCTCAAGGGAAGCATCATAGTCGCCCCTCCTGTTGTCTTGGCCTTTTCCAGCTCTCAAAACACATTTGTTTCAACTTTACATTTGGTCCTCAAGATGCTGCTGCAGGGGAGGTGAGGGAGGGCTATCCTTGTTACTGCTGTCAACACCCAAATCCCCATCTGTGAGGCGAGAATAGGTGTAGGGGTCATTTGAGGTGGTCGAGGGAACCCACTACTGACAAAGAGAGGTCTGAGCCAAGGGCCAGAGGTCTTCCGCACATGAGCCCAGCCCCCACCTGGGTGTGTCAATCTGGGGGACCCCCGAGGAGAAGGGAGTTGGGCCTGAGGGTCGGTGGGTGACAAGGCACAGGCCGCAGAAAAAAGGATGGTCTCAGAGACATGACAAGGGCTGGATGACGGGCTGGACATGAGGACAGAGGAGTCTACAGGAGACTGCTCGGGTGACAGCTTCCTCGTCCCCGCCTGGCCTCTGCCTTAGCCCAGCTGCCTCACCTGTGAAGCGGGGTGATTCTTTTTGGGCTCCTCACTTTCTTCCTTTATTGAGATAAAAGTCCTAACATCAAATTCGCCCTTTTGACCATTTTAAAGCACACGATTCAGTGGATTTAAGGACAGGCACGGCGCTGTGCAACCTTCACCCCCGTCTCATTCCAGTACACTGACATCACCCCCCAAAAAAGCCCATGTCCCCAGGAGCAGCCACTCCCCATTCTCCCCCACCCCCCGGCAGTCACTAATCTACTTTCTGTGCCTGTGGATTTGCCTATTCTGGACATTTCATAGCAATGCGATCATCAATGCGCGGCCTTTGTGACCCGGCTCTTTCACCCGCCATCGTGTTTTCAAGGTCCGTCCGTCCGTGTGTCAGCACTTCCTTCCCATCAGCAGGCGGATAACAATCCATTGTAGGGACAGACCAGGTTTGGCTGATCCACTCATCAGTTGATAGACATTTGGGTTGCTTCCAAAAGGGGGTGCTCTCACCCCTCCCCCATCAATCCACCGCGGAGATTAAACGTGAAAGCTACAAAGCCCACCTGGCCCAACGAGTGGAACCTTCAACCTAAAGCCACTGCTACAGGGCAGAGCTCCCAAGTGGTCACTGTGCTAGGAAAGGCTGCACCCCGCTGGAATGTGCACAGCCCCTGTGGCGGGTGCAGGCACGGGGCGCAGGGGAGAAGCCCTTTCGCTCCAAAGCATTTCTCAGCAGCCCCGATGGTGTTTTCAGCAGTGTTATCGGGCACCAACACCAAAGTGTTTAATTAAATTGCAGCCTGGACCTGAGGGGGAGGAGGAGAAGCCCAGCACGGCCCAGATGCCTCCCCACCACCCCCAGACACTGGATTTCACAAGCAAAAGAACACAGTGAGTCTGTTTCCATGGAAACCACTCTGCGGTTCCCATTTCCACACTGATCAGCCCAGACACGCGGGTTCCAGTGGCTGCATTTGGAGAGGAGCTGCCCAACTCCGGCCAGAGCCTCCATGTGGGAAAGTTACTGGCCCTGCTCTGGGCCAGCACAGTTTTTGGAGACTGATTATCTGTCCAGCCAGCCCCGGGCCTTTTGGTCCAGCCAGCTCTCCCAGCCCTGCTCTCTCTCTCAACCCAATGTCACCCACTCCCATAGCCCTGGCCAGCTTCTTTGGGCAACATTATGCCTTTTCCAAGGAGCATCCTCCCTGCTGGCTGCTGGTTGTCTCCTGGTGGCCCGTCCTCTGCGCAGCCCCACCTCTGCAAGTCTGTCCCTCCCTCTTTTGGGCCGTCCCATTCTCACTTGGGCAGCACCTTGTCCCTCAGGCGTCATCCTCCCAGTTAAACCCTGTGTCCCAAGTGCAGGGCCTGGTCCTAGGAGAAGCCCAGTAAGTCAGTCACACACACCCCCAAGAGCATTGGGAACCTTCCAGAACCAGGGGCTGATGTCATTTAAATTATCATGGGAGGGCGTAAGGAGGGACATGGGCTCCTGGGTGACTGCTCGGTGCTTATCTGACAATGGTTTGGTCAGTAAGACTGCTGACCATGTGTTTTTGGAAATCTCTGAGTCACTTTGTGCTTACAAATGTGTCATGATAGGGCAGAGTCGGCTGAGTCTGGGGCAGAGAACCTGTTGGTCTGACCCGAGGCCCCTCTCCCTGCTCACCCCGAAGGAGGTTCTAGCCCCTTCACTCCTTCCAGCCCCTCTTTGGGCAGGGCAGAGGCTGCAGCCCCCAGAAACTTACTAGAAAAGTGAATTTTCAGGGTTCATTCAGACCTACTGATTCAGAAAGTCTGGGGATGGGACCTAGAAATTGCACTTGAACAAGGCCCCAGGGTGATTTTGATGTTGCCAAAGATTGGGAACCACTGACTTAGAGAAAGAGGTAAGAAGAGGAAATGGGAGAGGGGGCAAGGAAGGGGAAGGTCTCCAGGGCACAGAAGCTGAAGAGCTCCAAGTCCAGCCCCACCCCCTCTTCCTGCCTGAGCCCCTTTAATTTTAAGGAAGTGATAGTGTAAAGATGCTTCCGGTATGGTCCTGGTCCCGTCGGTCTTCTCAACACCATAATTTATGGGATTAGAAGCATCTGGGTGTGGTTCCTGAGTGTTACCCATCACAGACCACCAGCCCTCTCCCTCCCCACAAATCTCATGCCCTGGCACTAGCTAGCCAGGAGTCGTTCTGTTGGTGCTACCTCTAGCTCACCACGATTAATTAGCAAGAATTTAGAC